CACGATTTAAGGCGGTTTGAGCACATTACAATTACACCCCACGATTTGAGAAAGTTGGTGACAAACAGCTATGGAAAAGACGTGGTGATAGGAGTTACACACGGTAGTTATTAGCCAGTCGGCCATTATGAAAGAAATGGGTAGTTACAAACAATTTCTAAACGATTAAAAATTGCTCAAACCGTATAAAAGAAAGAAGAAGACAACGAAGATGACCCCGACAAAATTCACTCTCAAATAGAGAATATGTAATTTACTTTTTCTTAGATTAACTTTAATTACTTTAATCTTCTTGTACTTGTGTGCTTGCGCCCATTGAAAGCATTTTGTTCGCGTCGAAACTGTAATCTTCATATTCGATAAACACCCCTTTTTGAGATTTTGGTCCAAGAGATTTGTCCCTTACACAATCGTTTGATCTCTATTTAATTGTTAACGAGTAAACGCGCGAAACACCAACCAACATTAGAAGAATGTGTACATAATATATTAAACTAATAATATAATGGACCAAACAAGTACAAGTTGCCACACATTAGGCTGAGCTATTCCCCTTACATAATATAAATCGACAAGTGCGAGTATTTACATTACACAATGAAGTTTCTATATAAGAAAGAACTATTGGATTTGGCGCGACATCATTATTCGACCTCAAACTTTGCACTCTCCATAGAGAGTTGCTTTCTACTACTAGTAATTGGGTGATGCTACAAGTACATCACTCTCTACATAAGGGTGTTCATAATGGACACCCGGCGCCTCTCCATTGGAGGAAGTGCCGGATATCCATTATGTACACCCTTATGTAGGAGGTGATGACACTTAGCATTTTCCCTAGTAATTATATGTTGGCATGCTATGCAAAGACACTATTATAATGTCAGAGCCTATGTATCCTCCGTACAAAAAATAAACCAACTAGTGTTTTTAGACAGCGCTGCCACCATCGTGCCCAAATGATCACTCCCTCATCTGGTAAAATTGATGCATTGGTATTTAGAGCCTATTTGTTCCAATTTTTATAGTAAGAATGCATTTTGGTATCAACCATGCTTTAGGTACCTACAGAACAGACACAGCCAAAGGTGGGATCAACATTTTTTTCCAGTATTTAATACATGGGGCCCGCACCATGTGATCGAGAATTCAAATTTCTGTTAAATTTCTGTATAAGTTTCCATGTACTTTCATCATTTTTCATCATGCTATAAAATATACTCAAAAATAGGGGAACACATGTCGACACATGATTGTATAGTTTAAAATTTTTAAAAAACGGCATGTTTGGTATAGCTTAAAATTCAATTAAAATTGAAAATATAGTCGTTATTAGGTCCCATTCGTCTAATAAAAATCAACAATAACGGTTAATTTTTCAATTTTAATTGAATTTTAAGCTGTACCGAACATGTCCAAAATTTAAACAGGTGCGCCAAGTCATTCTGTCTATCATTTCCCTATCTTTGAGCATGTGCAATCATCATTATTCTTTTGGAATATCAGAGTGTGGAAAATGTATGGTTAAAAAATAAGTTTTTTTTTGAATTTACATGTCATATTATTTTATTGAAAAAACGTATGATAGAAATGAATGAGAATAAAAATTAGTGGTTGTTTGGTAGGAATTTTTGGGAGAAGAATTGATTTTTGAATAGTAATATGATGAGAAATGTGTGGTTGAAAAAAAAAGAAAAAATTATTGATGTGATGAAAAATATTATTTTATTAAAAATATGTGGTTGAAAATGAGTAGAAGAATGAAAATGAAAATTTTAATGTGTACCAAACATGGGCTTATTATGAATTTTGCTAAGAGAACATCAAGTTTGACATAGGGGGTGACATANAAATATGGACAAAAACAATTCCAGCGAAAACCAGGAGCAGGAAGAACAAGTAGTAAACCCATGGGAAGTTTCAGCAAAAGGCAAAATCGACTACGACAAGCTCATTGAAAAGTTTGGTTGCCAACGCCTTGATCAGTCGATAATCGATCGGGTTGCCCGCCTCACCGGCCGTCCTCCCCATGTCTTCCTCCGCCGTGCTGTGTTCTTCGCCCACCGCGACTTCAACGAGATTCTGGATGCCTATGAAAGAGGGGAGAAGTTTTATTTGTACACTGGACGTGGGCCTTCGTCGGAGGCCTTGCATTTGGGCCATCTCGTTCCTTTCATGTTTACCAAGTAATTGCGCAATTTTTTTTCTTCATTTTGTTCTCCTGTAGGAACTGAATTTTAAGGCTTTTTTTTTTGCCCTGGGGTTTTGATTTAATTGGAAATGAAGAAGTACAAGTGAAGGGTCCTCATATGTGAGGCATGATTTGATTTTGGGAGGATTTTCTGTCTAGTGCTATTAGAATTGGATGAACTGAATGTATTGGGCTCGGTTGAATTGAGAATTGAAAATAAAGTAGAAGTCATGAAGCAGGACGTAAAAGCCACTGCCAGAAAGGCTCAGGCTTTGTTATATTACCCACGCATACAAGTTTGTTACTTTTGAATCAATTAGATTGCATTTTATAGTATCCTCTGAAATCACCATATGTGAAGCAGAAAAACCAATTTTATACATTGTGCGGCAATAATGATACTTTGCCAGGCCTAAGGTGAAGACTATTCAAGCTTCCTATGTTCACTATTTACAATTTTGAATGAAATTTTATAGAATGAGATTTTGGAATTATTATTTGTTTAATGTACAATTTGTGTATGTAATGCACTATATACAGTTATTACATCTTGTGCCTCCATTTAGGTGTTATTAAGTATCATTTGAATGGAGATTTAAAAATAGAACTAGACAACTAAGCATATTTATTGATTCTTTTATATATTCTGTGGTGGTGGGTGATTTTAGGTACTTGCAGGATGCCTTTAAGGTGCCACTCGTGATACAGCTAACTGATGATGAGAAGTGCATGTGGAAGAATTTGACAG